GGGTTTGGGGGGGGGGGGGAGAAGTCCCTTATAGTTTGTGATGACGTCAATATCAATATCGTATCAGTAAGATGGTTTGACGTCATCGGTATTATACGATTGCCAGCTGATCTGCGGTTGAAGAGGATTGCGATCGTTCTCTAATTATCCGAAACGTGGATACGACAAAATCTTATCCACAAGGGGAACACCCATTTCAGCATATCTGACTGAAGGATTGCAATCGTTTAGATTAGACAAACATATAAGATTTATAAAATTGATGTTGACGTCATCGGTATTATATGATTGCGAGCTGATCTGCTGAGTGACAATCCATTATATATATCTATATATAGTTAATTAATTATTATTTATCTATGCTGGCAATCCTACTCTTAAGTAAATAAAGAAAAAGGAGAGGTGACCAGAAGAACCTGGTCCTTTTTCGGACTCTTCTCAGATTTCTTTTTTCTTATTTTTCCCATTTCCAAAATTCGATTTTATTCGATTTTCTCTTTTTTTTTTTTTTAACAGTATTATTCTTGCATTAATATTTCCAATTTTTCTGTGTGTATGTATGCTACATTGTATCGTCGACAATCCGAAGAAATATTATATTATTAATTGAAATAATTTTTTTGTTGATTCCAACAAAATTCCACGAAAATGGTACCGCTTTTCCTTTTTAGGAGAGCCTGGGCCAGCTGTCACTTGCTGCTGAACGTGACTCCTTCCTTTTTAGGAGTGATGGTGATGATTGATAGCCATGGGGGTTATTGAGCAAAGTCGGTATAGCAATCTAATCGGCAACTAGGGGGGGTCCGTAGGGGTTAGTTATTAGCTATTAGGGGTGTTCGCCCCGAGGGGGAGAAGAGGGGTTTCCCAGGGAGGACCTTTCGGGGGGTACCAGGGGCCTCGGGGCCGTGGCAGAGAGGGGCCTTTTTTGGAGGTACCCAGGACCTTTTGGGGGGTTGCCAGGGGGAGCACCGAGGGTTGGGAAGGGGTTCAGAAGAAGGCCCTTTGGAGGGGGGTACCATATATGCCAGAAACCACTCTTTTTTTTTTTTTTTTTTTATGTTTAATGTGGACCATTTGTCGATTTATGCGTGTCATCTTTGCACAAAGGACCATGCTAATTACAGTATTAATCTTCTCTGCATCGTTCCAATGCCAACGCAAAGCACGTCCCAAGGACCGCTGGGTTGTTTAGCAGGGCCCAGTTTTGCTTTCCTCTTCGGGTTTATTTAGGCCCTCACTAACCACTCACCAAAAATGTGAAAAAAAATGAGAATGGATCTTCCACTACAATATGGAAAAATGCATGCACCGCCATAATTTTTATTTTGTCTTCTGGGCACGTGCACCTGTTGAGTGCTGGAGCGAGGCCCACGAAGCACGTTCTGCTCCCAGCTACCTGTAGCTCCACGAACCACGTTCTGCTCCCAGCTACCGGTAGCCCCACGAACCACGTTCTGCTCCCAGCTACCGGTAGCCCCACGAACCACGTTCTGCTCTCAGTTGCCACTCGTCGACAAATCGGAAATTGGATTCGTTGGTTTTGGACATTCAAAATCTTCATTCCGTTGCTTGATTGCTCGCTTTAGCCAATCATCGATTGATTGGTTGATATACTGGTTGATATATTGGTGGATATATTGATGGATTGATTGATTGATTGATTGATTGACTGATTGATATATTGATTGATTGATTGATTGATTGATTGATTGAGAATTGACTGGCTGGCTGGTTATGTTTGATCGATGGATGTACTACCACTCTCTCTCTTGGGGTGGAGTGCCGTAAATCGGAATGAAATGAAAGAACATGACAACGCAAACAGCTCTCTTGGGCTGCAGGACAGACATCCTCTGTAATTCTCTCTGCGACTTTATTATCCAGTAGAGATAGGGACGAGTGGGCAGATCCCGATCAGAGTCGAGCAGACAGATCCCGATTCGAGTCGAGCAGACAGATCCCGACGAGTTGACCAGACAGATCCCCATCCGAGTTGACCAGACAGACCCCGATCCGAGTTGACCAGACAGATCCCCATCCGAGTTGACCAGACAGATCCCCATCCGAGTTGACCAGACAGATCCCGATCCGAGTTGACCAGACAGATCCCGATCCGAGTTGACCAGACAGATCCCGATCCGAGTTGACCAGACAGATCCCCATACGAGTTGACCAGACAGATCCCGATCCGAGTTGACCAGACAGATCCCGATTGGAGCCGATTCGACAGATCCCTATCCGAGTTGAGCAGACAGATCCCGATCCGAGTTGACCAGACATCCCGATTGGAGCCGATTCGACAGATCCCTATCCGAGTTGAGCAGACAGATCCCGATTGAAGCCGAGTAGATAATTGCAGTCGAGTAGACAGATCCCGATTGCAGTCGAGAAGACAGATCCCGATTGGAGTCGAGCAGTAGACAGATTTGAATCCGTGATCACTATTATGATTATGATTGAAACAGAAGGGCAAGACAAAGATTCCGTCTTTATGGTGTCTCCCACTTTTTGTTCTTCGTCGCGGTCGCTGCGCTGTGCCACCCTTCCGCTTGATATTCTTCTTTTGAGGGCCCGCTTGCCGCGATCCCGACGGAGGAGGAGGGATAATAAGCCCGATCGCGGTTTGGCGGTTTCTTCTTCATGGGCTTTCGGCGGCGGACAGCCGCGACCTGCCCACGTGCTTCCACGTGGCGGCCTCTCATCCACCTCCTCCCTACACCAATGGCATTTGTCGCTTCTGGATTGAGCAGCAGGAAGCTTTATCTCTTTCTGACTTTTTTTGTCGTTAGCGCCGAGCTCATTCTTGTTGCTGTCCCGCCAGTCCTGTGTTTTTTGGCGGGACAACCGACGACGACGCCATCATCTGCCTCTTCTTCTTCCCTCTCCTCTCTATCAACATCGGACGGTGACTCTCCTGCTATACTACTTGGCAGAGGAAGTAATCTTACATCCCACAGCCCTCCTCCTCCTCCCTCCTCCTCTTTCTCCTCTTCCTCCTCGTCGTTGGGGGAGAAGCGAACATCATCTGGCTCTTCTTCTCTCTCTTCTCTCTCCTCTCTGTCAACATCGAACGGTGGCTCTCCTGCTACACTACTTGGCAGAGGAAATAATTTAAAATCCCACAACTCTCTCCCTCCGTCTCCTCCTCCTTCTCCCTCCTCTTCGTCCGCCACCTCCTCCTCCTCGTCGTTGAGGGAGAAGCGCACTGAAGCCTCCTCCTTTACAAAGAAGGTCAATCTCCCGTCCCGACCCCTTAAAACAAGAAACGATAGGGTTCCTCATCAACCAGCCAATCAAGCTCATTCCCAAGCAGACAGCTCGACACGTGTCCAGGTCAAAGTAGACCACGCCTACTCAACGGGTGAAGCGCGCCAAGTCGTCTCAACAGGTCATTCGCTCAGCGCGGAACGGGATCTGGATCTGGACTCGCGGGCGAGCTCGACACGTGTCTGGGTCAACGGGGACTCGACACTTGGCAGCTCAAGAGCGCGCCGCGTGCATTCGACGGACGAAGCAGAAGTATCGCCTCCTCCTCCTCCTTCTCCTCGACCTTTCACGCGCACTACACAAGCCGTGCCACCGCCGCCTCCCAACAACCACGACTCTCCCATTGAGCACCAGCTTTTGCGACGACGTCTTTTCGAGGGAACGGAGATAACAGCTGTCATGAGAACAACACCAGGGAGAGGGACGTCTCCGTCTGTCGCAACGAGCTTTCGCCACGTGTCATCTTCTGCGCCGCCGATAACAGAAGGGAGATCGCCTTTCAGATCGCCAGCTGTGAGGGTGGCAGCGCCACGTGTCACGCCCGCAGAGAAGCAGGGGAAAAAATTATCCTTCGTCACGTCTAGTTTGCCAATGCCAGAGGGCCACGGCCTTAACCCCTCCCCCTCCCCCTCCCCCTCCCCCTCCTCCTTCTTTGCATCAAAAAGCGCGGGAAAAGGAGAAAGGGCATCTGCCAGGTCAGCTCCGGGAGGAGCAGAAGGGAGCAGCAACAGGTCTTTTGCCGCGACGACGACTCCCGCCATCGAGAGAAAACCATCCACCTCCTCAAGTACGGTCGGGATCGCGACAAGAGAAAGCATGCGGCGATCATCTGCGGGGACGCCGCTCGGTAATCAAGGGGCGCTATCCGGCATCCAGCGGACTGCGAACGAACCCAGACCAGTTTCCGAGCCAGGTGCAGGGAACGACGCGAGAACGTCTACGGCTATAACACCACCTGCAGGGGATGGATCGTCATCTCTCATCCCGATCCAGACCGTCAGGCAAGAAGAAAAACCCCTTGTCAAGCCAATTAGCGAAACGCCATCCGCGGAAACGCCACGTGTCGCCCTCTGGAAGAGCATTTCTTCTCCATTCAGCAGAGAAACGCCGCGTGTCACCCGCCGCCCTACAGGCGGGGAAATGAGGCCATCATCTGCCGGAGGAGGAGGAGGAGGAGGAGGAGGAGCTTCGACTGCATGTCAAACCAGCAGGCCCGCGGCAGGTCAGAAAGAGGGGGCAGAGGCCTACCGCCACGAAATCACCTATCAACGCCGACGCCGGGCGTTTGATGAAGTCAACAACCCACCAGTCAGTCAGATCGTGCCACGTGGCACTCCCGTGGATGACAGCTGGAAGGGGGGGGAAGGGAAACCCCCGCAGCTGCAAGGTCGAAGGGAAACCTATCAGGAAGGCGCCCATCAGCGCCGCCGTCGTGGTTTTGATGAATCCAAGAAACCACAAGTCAATCAGATCATGCCACGTGTCACTCCCTTGGATGACGGCTGGAAGGGTGGGGAAGGGAAACACCCGCAGCTGCAGCTGCACAGTCGGGATGCTGACGTGGCGGGCGACAGTGCAAAGCGTAGGTTGTCCGAGGAAACATCGCCGCTGAGTGATGGCCGCCCACGTGAGAATGCACCCCCCCCCACAACACAGTGCCTGCCCAACGGGATGAAGATCTTCCAGATCGGGACCCCGGTGGAACCCACCTGTTGCAGCGGACAGCCTGTCAGGATCTACCCAGGTGAAGTGACACGTCATCACCCTGATGAGGTCGGGACGTTAACCTCATCAACGATTTCTGACTCATTGGGCGCCCCCTCGGTCGGGATGGTCAGGGTCACCTGCGACCAGCGTGTGGACCTCTCGATGCTGCTTCGCTCCTCTCATGGAGGAGGAGGAGGAGGAGGAGGGTATCCGAATACCACATCCAGCAGCTTCACAACCTCCACCTCCTCCTCTATGCAGCAGGAGGAGGAGGAGGAGGAAGAGGCCGCCGCCGATACGGTGACACGTCAGCAGCCAATCATCCGGATCGGGGTCTCCACCTCCTCAAGGCCTGAACATTGCTTTCCACCCGGCCCCCTTCCCTTTCACCCCCCCGTTGGCAGATCTCCCCCCCCTTTGTGTTGCAGTGGAGGGCAACCCCTCACTGCCAAACCCTTATTTGCTAGCAGCTTACAGAAGAAGACGAAAACGAAGACGAAGGCGAATGGCGGCCTGGGTGACAGAGGCCGTCTTGTTCGGAGCCAACAGCATCAGCAGGGTGTCGATGGGGATCCCAACCTTTCCGGGAGAAGGATTGATTGGTCTCGGGACGAGGATGAGCGGAATGAGCGCAAGAGTCTGATGGCGATAGAAGAAGGAGAAGAGAAAGAAGGAGGCGAAGAGAAAGAAGGAGAAGAAGAAGAAGAAGAAGAAGAAGCTGCTGAGCTGTACGTAGCATGCCCCAGCTCTGCCCCATGCTACCCACCGGGGGTCTTTTTCTCAACCCTTCAGGACAACTGGCCATGTTGCTACGGAGGGCTGCCGTACGTGGCCTCCTCGGATTCTGCCACCGAAGACGAATCTGTCTACAGTTGGACGTGCTTGGCATTTCCCGCCAATTCCTCTCTTACCTCTCAGGCCCAGCTACTGTCTCAATCCCTATCCCAAATCGAGTCCCAATCCCAGTTTCAGTCCCAGTCCCAGTCCCAGTCCCCAGCCGCCGCTGAGGGAGCATCGGGCAACCTGGACGGGATCTCTTCCCAGTTGACGTCATCTGCAACTTCACCAGAAAGTTCCCCCGGGGGTACCGAACAAGGCAAGCAAGCAGCTTCTTCCCCACCACGTGGAGGGCAAACTGTTGCAGGCAATCTTGGAGATGATGGAGGTGGGGACATCAACGGTCACCGCGGCGGCCAACGCGTCGGTGGATATGATCAGGATGATGATTATAACGATGATATGCGAAGGCATGGTGACCCTATGCCATCCAGCTTTGGGGATAGGTTTCCCCAGAATGTGACCGGGCGACGGTTCTCCTTCCTCCCCCCGCCGCTGAGTTGGCGGTCTGGCCTTGGACGGGTGGAGACCATCCTCAAACATATGATCAGGATACGTGGCAAGAGGTTGAGACGTCCGCCGCCATCACCTCCAGGTCCCTGGGAGTTTCCTTACAGTTCCTCTATCCCCCAAGGCCCTCCATCGCAACTAATTAGCACCCCTCTCGTGCAAACGGACAACCCTGCATCTTCACAAATTGCCACTGATACCACCTCCAACTACTCTATCCCGTCTGTGCCTCATCAGGCTTCCTCTCGACCCTCTCCCACCTCTCCTCTCCTTCCTTCCCCGCTGCTTTCGTTACCTCCCAGCCTCCAGATACCCGCTCCCTCCTCGTATCCTCCCCCCTCTCTGCCTACTTCACCTTCTCCCCCTGTTCTAGACACTCCCAACTTTTCTCCTCCTCCTCCTCCTCTACCTCTTCTTCCTCCTCTTCTTACTTCCCCTCCTCCTCCTCCTCCTCCTCCTCCTCCTCCCCCCGCTACTCTTTCTCCTCCTTCCCATCCTCCTCCTAGCCGCCCACCTAAGGGTCTTTCCCAACTCATCCATTCCTCTCCCAACTTCCTCCCTCCTCCTTCTCCTCCTCCTCCCCCTCCTCCTTCTCCTTCTCCTCCTCCTCCTCCTCCTCCTCCTCCTCCTCTTTCTCCTCCTCCTCCTCCTCTTTCTCCTCTTCCTCCTCTTCTGACTTCCCCTCCTCTTCAAACTCTTTTTCCAAGCGTTCCATCTCTTCCTTCCCACCCTCTTCGTGGCCCCACACCAACCTCAGGTGGCCCTGGTCCCATTTCTGGGACAGCTTTTGGTCCCGCAGTTGGTCCTGGTCCCGTTTCTGGGACAGCTTTTGGTCCCGCAGTTGGTCCTGGTC